GTGGATATAATCAAAGGCGCTTTACATGTAATTGTGAATGACAGATTGCTTTTTATATGATGCCTTTCTAGGTAACTGTCACCCCCTTGAAACAAGCTGGATCTGCTGTTGCACATGATGGCATGATTGAATCTGACCTTATAATGATTTACATGAGAAAGAATTCAGTTTCTCAGGGGAAAAGAGACTATAGTATTGCCTGTCCTCCTGTTATGCCTACCTTTGCATGATGGTACAAAGCTTCTAATATTACACGCCTATCCCTTTGGAAAGAGATGTAATTTCCCTTAAAGATATTGAATTCTTGTGTGAATTTTTGTGTATGACCAGTGAACCATGTATGTTAGGTGGTGAATACACTCAATTGAAGATTCGTTGTCGGGTTCAGAAACATAGAACATAGAAGCTGAGACCGAAATGGCACATGGGAAGTATGATAATTAGATGTTTCTGGACCTGACAACGATTCTTCAATTGAGTATATATAACCCTCTTGCATCATAACAGTAACTCTTTTTTTAGCCTTATGAATGTACTTTGGCTATAAATTAACTCCCTACAGACACTTTCTCTCTTGCGTGAAAGTCTGTATATTAAACAAGTGTTAACTGTATTTCAATGGCTAGCTCTTTCTCATTTCCCTCTCATTTTATGAAGTTCACATACAGTCAACTCTCGCCTTGCAGACACCCTGATATTACGGACACTATGCTATTGCGGACAGGAGAAAAATCCCCGGCCAAAAATAATGACAAAGAAATGACCAAAATTAACTCTCCCTATTGCGGTCGCTCGCTTTTACGGACACTAAGTGATGGTCCCAAGGGTGTCCGCTGTAACAAGAGTTGACTGTATTTTAAGTTTTCAATTCTTTTTTAATTATTGATGGCAATATTTCTGTGCACCCTGACGATGGGTGGTTTAAGTTCTAGCAGATTCAAACATCTCTTTTAACAGAGTAGATATAGGTACCTCTCCTTCCAGCTTAGATTGTACAACAAGAAAGAATCCATATCCCTTGGTACACACGTCTCTTAGTGCTGGAAGTCGCAGTAGGATTTTCGCAAATCTTTCCGGTTGATGAGGGTAGACTGTTGAGATGTGATGTTGTAGACCTGATAAGAATGATGTCCGTAATTTTTCCACTTTTGGTTTACACTTTAAGCCTGGGTTATCTAAGCATAAGGAAAATTATGTGTTATAAAATAAGTCTACAGTATATCACTAGGTTGGCTCTGTCAGTTGAGCAACAGTCTACTGTACAGGGCTTAAAATAATTACTTGTCATTGGATGATGTCGAACCAGAATTGAAACCTCCTGTCAAATCTTTGCCAACCATTTAGACCAGTAACATTGAGCCAGAAACAAGGTATGACTGAGCTAAAACTAATTTAGCCAGTGATCATGGCAGCAGCTGACAGGTCGTTATTTATAGTCGTACTGTTGAAAGGAATGTTATTGCTGGACTTGACATCACATTAGATTAAAGTTTGTTAAGTCTCTCCACAAAACAAAACCTTTCAATCTGAATTTCAATAGGCCCTTTGCAGTTAACGTTCACATGTCTGTACTGTGAGTTGAATTGTTTGCTGTGTTCTCAACCCTGCCACGAGGGGTTTTCTCCAGGTTCTCCAGTTTTCCTTCCTCCATAAAAATCAGCATTCAAGTTGAGTGTTGTGTGTTGTAAGTAGTGAATGTAGTGTTATAATTAGGGACCAGTCATTTTTTAAGTCGGGGGGGGGGGGGGGGGGGGGGGGGGGGGGGGTGGAGGAGAAATGGGGGACCCTCAAAAAATTTTTTAGTGGAACATGGGGGGCCTTGAAAGGTCAAAAGGAGGATTGGGAGGATTTTTTAAAGGATTGAAATAGGTACCCAAAAAACATGAATCCTATTAGGTTGGGGTCTGGAAAATTTTTTGTACAAAAACATTTTCTCCTTCACCTCCTCTGGACTGGTCCCTTATTGCATGTGGATCTAACCTCACGAAGATTCCCCTATGGCAAGGGATGGTTGTAAAACAAAGGGGTTTGAGTTAGGTTATCCAAGTATTTTTGGTTGTACGACTTACCTGGATCAGCAAGCAGTATAGACTTTAAACACGCAAACTCTACTTTATCTATGCCGACAGCTCTTAACCTCTCCACAACATCCAATATCATATCTACTATGTCAGTGTTCAATACTTCATAACACACTTCCCGCACCAGCAATGTAGTGGAGTTTAAATACACTTGGTTTTGGTATGGCATTGACCGAAATATCACTCGGAAGACAATTAGTTCCATGCCTGCGGCAGTCAACAGCACAATCTGGTCATGCTGGGGAAGGTCACTGAACCCAGGAACCAGCTTTGCCCACTCCACAATGAAGTGCAGTTCTCTGGTGATTGCATTAGAAGTGCGTACCAACACTGCTTCTTTTCCTTCTTTCATACTTTCTATAAGCTTCTCTATCGGTTCCCCTGGAGGAACAATGCAAGGATTACTGGCCATTAGTTGTGCTATAAGATGAGAGCTTTCATCTGTGGAATTTTTAGTCACGTCTAGATTTTGTTCTTGCAGGCTCGTAGTAGTGCTATCCTTAATAGGAACCTCTTTTTTTAGTGGATAGAAAGAACGACCTCCTCTTTGCTTTTCTTTCCTGATTCCTGAAATATTCCAATAAAATTTAAATTCATGGAAATGCAGTTCATAGGAAAACGAAATATTTTGAACTTCTGAAATAATTTAGAAATAATAACTTTCATGATAAAGATAAAAAAAGAAGTCTTGGCACTCTAGATTAACGAGTATAATTACAGTGCTTTTTGGCATCATGTGCAGAATCGTATAATTTGGCTCTAGAAAATAAAGGTTTGATGAAAGTCAATCAAAGTTTTTCCATGACATTGCCAGCAAGAACTTATTATTTGTTATTGATATTCACCACTACAAGTACAACAGTACATAATACAGATCTGACAATGGGGTAAAAATAAAAGTAATTAGAAAGTTCCTCTGGCAGCTGCTATGCAACCCATGTAGGGCCCTGGAGCCAAGCTCTAACCAGTTCTGAAGGGCACATTCCTATGGAAAGTTATGGAAATTATGCCTTGACTTATCATTGTCCACCAAGACCTACTTTGTCATGATGATGAAACATGCTTTGAGAAACACTGTACAAATTTATAGATGCTCGTATATTCAACATGTATATTCAACAGTGCATATCGCATCAAGCACAAATGTACTGCTACCGACTTTTAGTTTAATCTTCTTTATTCCATCATAAATATGTCACATGTTCATTTTGGTTGACATGGCAGGCTCTTAACCTTATAGAAAATTAATGAGTAATAGAATTTTTCAATAGGTTCCTTTCTGAGTAAAGGACAGAACATAGTTGATCACCATTGGGAACAGATAATAATAATGAGATTCAAAGACGTCTTTCAGCTGATTGAAATTCTGAAATACTATATTCAAAGAGTTGTCAAAGGAGATATGAGCTGGCCTACATGTGCATGACCATTGTTTCCCATTCCAAGGTCAAATGCTRTTTAGCCAATCAGAATGCTTTAAGACAATAGATACACCAAGTCGCGATGTTATGTTATGGGATTAGGCAATCGTGCGTTTTAACTCGTGTTTGACTAATAAACCATGGTGTTTAGTTGCATAATTCTGGCAATCTTTCGCTTCCTAGATTAATTTACTTTGAATATCTCACGTTAGTAATCGTTCATACGCAGAAAGTCATAAGCTCGTCGAGTCTTCGACCCCTTCCTAGAGATAATATGGATTTTGAGAATATCGTGTTTCAACTTGAAAAATTTTTCTTTTTAGAAAAACATCTAATAATACTTATCTCTGAAGAAGCCTTACCGCCTAACAGCCTTAGTTGGAACTAAATTACTGCAGAATAACGTGAAATTTTCTTACCTTCCTCAACCATCCCGACATCAAAACACTTCTTGAGTCGACAAGCTTGACACTTCGCTCGACTAATTTTATCGATTTCACAGTTCCCATCTTTGAAATTACATGTGTATTTGTCGATATATCCTCGCTGAATGGTTCTTTTGAAGAAACTTTTGCATCCTTCACAAGTGTCTGCTCCATAATGATACCCCGAACTAGAATCTCCACACACAGCACATTTTTCAAGGGGGTCCATTAATTAATCTTAATGAATTCTAAGCGAAGTTTTCCTCACTAAAAATACCCAGTTCGTGTCCTGGTTTATGAAACTTAAAATTGGATGAACATATAGTCGTAACGCACTCATAATATATCAAACTTTGGAACCATGAAAAGCGTTTTAGATGTTTAACTTTGAGAAAGTGTTCTTGAATGATTCTAATTTTAGCTTCACCACAGCCAACCCATTGGAAGTTTCGAATTTCAGTTCATAATTTCGGTGGTGGGGGAGGGGGTCGTACCACTTGGTCCTTTTTATGGTAAAAACGCGCGAACAACGCAAGCATGGAAAGCCGTCAAAAATAATCTATATTTTGCTGAAAAAAAATTAATCGTCCTCATTTCCCCTAGAAGATAACCAAATGACTAGTTAGCGTTTGAAATTTGTGTTTTAAAAGATTTAGAAGTATAAAATGTTATTGGGCTACAAGTGTGGACTTGGAGACTTCGCGTTACGTGGAATTCTATCCCAAATAAGCACAAAATATGTAATTTCGATTTGACCATCGTCAAATTTAAAAACATTTTCCTCTAAAGTTGGGTAATACAAAGTACATCCGAAAAACGAATTAAAAATTGGGGGTGCCAGACTTTGTTTTAGAGCTATAAGAGATTTAAAATTTTTTTGCTTATTGGTATTACGTCATCACGATCATCCGAAAAAATATCAAAATTTGGGAAAATAACAGCAAAAAACTTACGAATAACAAAACAACTTGAATTTCTTCCACATGAAGTCACTTTTTAATTATTTAGGTCGATTCTTCAGTACTACTAGTCTTATTTTTTTACAACCCTTTACATTTAAGTATTAACGGTTCTAACACGACAAGTCCAACTGATCGTTACAGGTTTCATAGTTTTCTTAATTTTGACCTTGTCTTATTACATCGAGATTCAATGGCAGGCCTTGTGGCACCTAGGACTGTAAACGCAACTCAATCTACATTTCAAAAGGTGGCAACAGTCGCTGGAAGAATTGCAGCTCCCCTGCCGTACTTTGCATCGTTTTTCGGGGAACATTTCAATTCGGTTGTCGTCCTCATAATACTTCGCATACGCATCCACCAAAAGTACAGCGATGATCAAAAACACAATGAACTTCATCGTAAATCAATTTGTTGACGATAAAAGTCATCTCAAGTTTAGAGGATTGATAACACAGTCTTAGATAATAATAATAATAATAATAATAATAATAATAATAATAATAATAATTTNAAATTTTACTAGCATCTCATTTATTAGTCTTTTGAAATTTTTTTAGTACTTTTTTTTTTTTTCAATTTTTTTCTGAATTATTTTAAGTGCACTTTATTTTTCCGAACTACGAATTAAAAGCTAATTTGAACAAGTAGGTTTTCAGTTCAGATTTAAAATTGGTGAGATTAGTAGCATTTTTAATATGTAGTGGCAGTGAATTCCAAAGCTCAGGAGCAGCAACAGAAAAGGAGCGATAAAAATAAATAAAATATATTTATTTATTATATAATTAACGATGAAATATCTATTTTTCTCTATTTCGAAAAATTGATATCTTCACACGTGAAATAACATTGCGATGGCTATTCAAAAATACACGGAAAGAATTGCCTGAAAAAGCCAAAACATACTTCATTGATAATTATATAATGAACAGAATATTACATGGGCGCTTGGAGATACGAAATTTATCTTCTCGTGTTGAAAATCTCTCACTCGTTCGCTGCGCTCACTTGTGAGAGATCTTTTCAACACTCGAAGATAGATTTCGTATCTCCGCGCGCCCATGTAATATCCTCTATATATGAAATAAACGTTTTCTCTCCCGAAATTTGATTCAACAAGCTTAATTAATTTTCAAATGCCAAGCCCCCCACTTTTCAATATGCTCCCGGGTCCCTGCTGGAGTCTGTTCAAGTTTCTGATAAAATCAAGGCTTCAAGCGTAGCAAGGAACATTGGGGTTCTCTTTGACACAAATGTGAATATGGAGCAACACGTTACATCTGTGGCTAAATCAGTGTTCCACCATTTAACGAACATTAGTCGCATAAGAAAATATATTAGTTTCAAGACAGCTGAAATTTTGATGCATGCGTTTGTGACTTCTAGGTCAGATTTTTCTAAATTTTTTTTTTAATGATTTACCTAAGAATTTGCTCCAAAAGCTACAGTCAGTTCAGAACGCTTCAGCTAGAGTTGTTACCTTAACGCGCAAAAGAGAACATGCAATGCCTATTTTAGAGAAACTTCATTAGTTACCGATCGAAGAGCGTGTTATATTTAAGATCTTGTTTCTAATACGTAAGGCGTTAATAATCTCGCTCCATCGTATTTATTTGAATTAGTTGATCCGTATATACCTAGAAGGAATATTCGATCTTCCAATAGCAATCGTATAGTAAGTGTAACATATAAACTTAAAATATATGGATATATAGATTTTTCATGTGCAGCACCATCCCCATGAAATGAGTTGCCGCAGAACGTTAGACGCAGTAGTAGTCTTAGTGAATTTAAGCGATTAGCCAGATTAACTTTTAATTGCTAGTTTTTAATAAATATATTTATTTTTAAATAATTACAGAATTGGAAAATATTGTTGACGCGCTCTCGTTTGATGTCACATTTATTCGTTTCGATTTAAGCGGTAGAAAAACTACAAAATTACAAAATGAAGTGTCAGTGAAAAAACTAGAGAAAACTCGAAAAGCAAAGGGAATAAAAGTGAAGGAAAAAGCTACTTTACATCTGTATCCTTACTGTGTTTGCGATGAGTGATAAAATATTCAAGAAAGGGAACTTAACTAGCTATGAATAGGGACGGGCCATAGTTGATGGGGGGGGGGGGGTGCGTAAATCCCCCAAAAAAATTTCGTGCAACCTCTTCTGCTAGAAGAAAAATATCTAACTGTACGCAAAAAAATAACGTGCAAGGGTTGAGCCAAAAAAAAAAAATATCATCATAGATAGACTAGTAATGACACCATGCAAATAACATTTAATTATAGTTTATTTATAATTTCTTTATACGATAAAGGAATTCTTACTGTTGTTGTTATTGTTCGGAGTTCTGCGTGAAAACCGCACCGTATATGATATATGATATATTTTTATATTATGTGTATTTGTTTATCTTTAGATAGGTGTCCCCAGTTATACCCTACTTTAATGTAAGCTAGATACTTATGACACATAAATAAAGGTTATTATTATTATTATTATTATTATTATTATTATTACCATAAATACCGTCCTCGCCTGAGACGGAATTATGTTCTATATTATTTTATTTAATTTCATCAGAAATATTCTCGTTATCTTGCTTTTTATAATAAGAAAAAGTTAATGCTTGTTCTGTTGTTCTTTGAGAATAGAATTAGTATACACCTCCTCTGTCTAAATCTTATGAATAAGATTAAATTTGACGTTTTCAGAAGGAAAAAAACAAATTAGTTGTCTAATCTTGTTTTACATACTTTGTTTTTATTGTTCAGAAGAGAGTTAACTATTTACGGCATTTCTTTGTTGGTTTTTGGCTGAGTTTCCGCTTTCTCAGAACGAATCGTGGGCACAGACGTACTTCTCTTTGTATACTTCTTTTTCATCGCGCATGCGCGCTGCCGAAAGGGCATCCTACGTATTCGCGACAGTGACTTGAAAAATTCATCGACTTCTTCTTTCGTCTGCGGTGTTTTCCACTTGTCATCTTTTGACTCAGAGGAGCCATCTTTGAGGCCCTCGTCTTTTGGCAAACACTCGGCTTCTTGTACCCAGTGAAAATCTTCTCCATCAAGCCCGTCATTCTCCTGGTGTAACTCTTTGTATTCACCAGATTTTTGCCAATCCTCTTCGCTGTCTTGTTCGTCAACTGCAGCTCCTCGGTGTAACCTCGGCTTGRCTTTTATAACTGGATTAGAATGGCTTTTCGTGAAAGGCCTTGGCTTAGGAAGCCTGGGAGAAGTTGATTTGCCTTTCCTACTGACTCCATCGTTCATCGTAGTATCGTTTAAATCGTTATTATTGGCATCCAAATCAAGGCGTGTCTCAAAATCCCTGAGCGCCCCGTCATGTGATGTCTCAGACGTACTGGAACTACTTTCACAGTTCTCACTGCTGTCTTTATTGTCATTCACAGCACAATTTGACACGTCCGCAAAGCTTCCTACATGACCCCCCACGGACAGTCCAAACATGAATCTTAAGGTGTTGTAGGACGGTGGTGTCTTGAAGAGAAGGTTGCCACGTTGCAGGCTGAGGCTTGTTCTAGCTTCTTGAGCAAGTGTTTCAGACCCATCAACTTGCAACTTATCAAGCTTGCGGTCTAAACTGAAACCCTTGTAATGAGCTCCATCGACTCTTCTACGTACACTTTGAATGATGGATTTGGCCTCACGACGACTTTTCCAGGAGAATCCCTCAAATTTTGTCGGTGAGGGACTGGTACTTGAATCATTTGGACTTGCTACGCTTTCTTCTGATGTGGTTGAATCTAAACAGTCGGTTTTTGTGGCCTTTTGAGTTTCGATTAGAAGGAAATGAATTAGTTAAAGAATATTTTAAGACAGCAAGGGTAAAAAGTGTACACTTTCCTCAACTCTACACAAAACGTTAACCACGCTATGGCTAGTTCTTTTAATCTGCTTTCTCTGCCCACTCCACTCCACTCCACTCCACTCCACTCACCACTCCACTCCACTCCACTCCACTCCACTCA